GTTCTCCCCCCCCCCCCCCCCCCCCGCAGCGTCCTCCAGCGTCGTGCCAATCCCTGGGACCTTCTCCTGGCCGCTGGCGGCTCGCGGTAAGCCTCGCAGGGGCATGCTACGCAGAGCTGTGTTCTCCGACGTGCAGCGGAAAGCCCTGGAGAAGACGTTCCAGAAGCAGAAATACATTAGCAAGCCTGACCGGAAGAAGCTGGCCGCCAAGCTGGGCTTGAAGGACTCGCAGGTGCGCACGGCTTCCACCGCCCCACCCCACACTGCACCCTAACCCGTGCCAATCAATTGTAAATGCTCTCTGAGGCTTGGACTGGCAAGGTTCCCAGGTCTAGTGAGGATGCATGGGTAGATACATGGATGGATAGATGTGATGCATGGATAGGTTGTATGCATGGATAGATGTATGCATGGTTGGGGTAGGTGGGTGGACACATGAATGGGGTACATGGAGACATGAACTGGATACATGAATGGATGGGGGAGTTGGATAGGGGATGAGTGGATGAATGCCTGAATGCGAACAGTCGGGATGGATGGAGCCGCAGAAATCACCTTGAGTCCTGAGGACAGTCCCTGCTCCACGTGAGCACACACTGACTGGCTTCCCGGTTCCTCCCCTACAGGTGAAAATCTGGTTCCAGAATCGACGCATGAAGTGGCGGAACTCCAAGGAACGTGAGCTCCTGTCTAGCGGGGGCTGCCGAGAGCAGACCCTTCCCACAAAACTAAACCCTCATCCAGACCTTAGCGACGTGGGCCAGAAGGGCCCTGGGGATGAGGAAGAAGACAGCCCGGGTCCCTGCCTGGCCTACCATGCTCCCCCTGACCCTCGACACCTGCTGGAAGGACCCCTGGCTGCCTCTCCTGCACACTCCAGCAGCCCGGGGAAACCCTCGGACTTCTCTGATTCCGATGAAGATGAGGAGGGTGAGGAGGATGAGGAAATCACTGTGTCCTAGGAGCCCCTCTGGTTCCCAGGTCCCGGCTCCCGGCTTCTGGACTGCTGCCTTTTTAAAATTGGAGGAGGAGCGTCCACTCAGTGGCTACCTCTGTACAGGAGCCTGGACTCTGCCTCTTCTCACCACAGACACACCATCTTCTCAGGGGTGCCACAGTTCTTTCTGTTGCCCCAAAGAGACATTTCCTTACTCCATGCTGCCACCTCCACAAGGGCCACATTACGTCTATTTATTGCAAACTATTTTAGACATGGTGTGCAGGGTGTTTGTGTAGAAGGGTGTATCTAGTCCCACTGCCAGGGCTTACTGTGAGTCAGGTCCTGTCAAACACCAAGCCTTTGACCCCTAACTTCCTGGGTGGCCACCTTCCTGCAGTCAGTCATCCTGTCTTCTCATCATGAGAGTAGAGAGCACAAGAAATGACAAAAGAGAATGAGGGGACAGTTGTGCCTTCCCACCTAAGAGGAACGAGCTAGCAAGCTTCGCATTTCCTGATGCCCCTTTGGGGGAGAAAGTGATTCCCCTATGTAGAAGAGAGTGTGTCTCTATTTCTATTCTGTTCTGAAACATTTAGCTTTCCCTACCTGCAGAACACTGCACCCAGTACTCTGCAGTGTCCTTTTGTTATTTCAAAGGTCAAGCTCCTGGAACTGGGGTGTGGACTTGTCTGCCTCGTTGACATTTTCCCCCACACAGCTTTGCTGTTTGCACAGCTTTTATGAGCTGTGCTCTACTGTGTATATATATATTTTGTATGGATATTTTATACTGAGGTTATTGTGAGTGACCACAATGAAGGGCTGGTCACATCTATTATTTTTCTCCACAATGGTCTTTAAAGTTTAAAAGATAGCTGTGTAACCTCATAACTTATAAGAAAATGGTTATTTTGTATTTTTACCATGTACAGACTTTTTTATATATGTATATATGTATGAAATGAACAAATGCCAAATAAAAAGTAGAATGGATTTGATGGCTGAAAGGGCATCATTAATTCACAGAATGTGAGAGCTGAAAGTAAGGTAAGCTATTATAACAGTCATGTATGCTAACTGACTCCAGTAAGAGGGCACCAAGAAGTTGGGCTTGCAATTATCCTCCGATTCTCCAGACTAGGTGATGGGCTGCCATCAGTGAGTGCATGCAGTACAGTCTGGGCGCTCGGGTCTGGAAGGGGAAATCTTTTCTAGTCCTCCAGAAGGCTTGAGAGCTAGTCCTGATCCCTCTCATAAGGCCCAGTCCTACCAGGAATGTCAGTCATAATCACAGCCTATGAGCCCAGTCCCCAGGGTCTACAAGTGAAAGGGACAGCGACTCCTTGCAGCAGCAGCAGCAGCAGCAGCAGCAGCAGCAGCAGCAGCAGCAGCAGAAAGGAGACTCTTCTTAGCCATCCCCTAAGAGAAAGGAGACTCTGCATTGGAATCCTGAAGGGAGCTTTTGTGTCCTGTGAGAGACATAGTCTCTGGCCCATGTGTCTCAGACCTCCAGTTCCTTGTGAACTCCTAACTCAAATCCCAATAGTCAAGAGAAGTTGCCCAGCGTCAGTTTGTATGATGATTGAAATGCGAGCCCACTCTCCTTCTTCTTCAACAACACAAACCTCCATGCTGACTTCCTCAGCGCTTCCTCTCAAGCTTGTGACCAGGTTGGTATACACAGAACCCCGAGAACTCAGAGAAAAGAAATGTGCTTACTTTAATAATGATCCCAATCCAAGAAACCCCTAAGTCTCCTCAGTGTTCTATACAAGTTCCTTTGAGAAAGGGATTTCTCTAGTATGGCCCACACATTCAGAGATGAGAGCCTGGCCGGAAACGGCTGACTTCTTCCATGTCAGTTCTAGCTGACAGTTCTAACAGGCTAGCTATGAGAATGGTTTGGTGTTGATTGCTGGGGTTCAAACACTCAGGAACACCCGGTGCTCCCTGTAGCACTGCAGCACAGCCAGGAGTGTGCACAAGTGTCCATTGGTGCAGGCATTGGTAAAGAGTATGAGTCACAGAGGAATGGAGCATTACTCACCCTTTAAAAGGAAGGGAGTCCTGTCACCTGCTTCAATGTGGATGAACCCTGGCGGGGGCGTGAGGGAGACAGAGCACTATGCTAAACCACAGCCATGTACCAAGTAACTGCATTGGAGGGGGCCATCCCAAGCAGTCAGCCTGTGAAATCTACTGAGAGTAGGAATGTGGTCTTCAGAGACTTAAGGAGGGAAAACAAAGGGGGTGCCCTTCAACCAGTCCATTGAGTTCCAGTTTCACAAAACCAACAAGTTTAAAAGATCTGTCCCATAGTAACATGAATGTAACTGACACTATTTGATTGTGTAGCTAGAAAGAATTGATGCAGGACTACAGAGATGGCATATAAGCCTGGGACACTCAGCTTGGATCCCCAGAACCTGCATAAAAGGTCAGGTATAGGGGTGCAAACCGCAGCTTTGGGGTAACGGAGACAGTCAGACCCCAGAGCTCATTGATCAGCCAGCCAAAAACTCCATGAGCTTAAGGTTTAGTAAGAGAGCCTGTCTCAAAAACTAAAGGTGGAAAGAGAGGTTAAACAGACATCGGCCCCCCATACCTGTGAGCACACATATCTACCACACACATGAAATAAGAGACAGGAATAGTGAAAGACATGGTTAACATGAGGCCTGGAACGATAGTGTACACCTGTAATCCCAGCATAAGAGGCTGACGGAGGAGAATGGCCAAAGTTTGAGACTGACCTGAGCTATGTCGTGAGCTCAAGGCCAACCAGGGCTATCTATTGAGACTCTTTAAAAAATGTTAAATTTGTTAAAAGCTATTATATAGTTTTTGCCATAGCAATTTTTAAATTTCAGAACATAATTTTGGAAGCCAGGCATGATGGCACATGTCTGGGATACCATTATTCTGGAGGTGGAGGTTAGAGGCTCAGAATTCCAGGACAATGTTAGCTACATAGCAAGTTCGAAGCTAACTAGGGCTGTATGAGATTCTGTGTCAAAAATTTTTAAAAATTGAAGTAACTTGGAAGAAATACTCTCATATTGAAGAAATGAAGATTCTGAAAAATCAAGCTAGTGAGATGGGTAGGTAAAAGGTACTTGCTGCCCAGCCAAACAACTGAAGTTCCATCCCTGGGAACCACTTAGTAAAGGGAGAGAACCGAATCCTGCAAGTTGTCCTCTACCTCTATGCACACACTATGGTACACACACACACACACACACACATACACACACACACAGAGAGAGAGAGAGAGAGAGAGAGAGAGAGAGAGAGAGAGAGAGAGAGAGAGAGAGAGAGAGAGAGAGAGAGAGAGAGAGACTAAATGCAAAATTTTTTAATTCAGCAATGTATTAGTCAGGGTCTCTCAGCGAGTAGCATTACAGATGACAAAAGTATTTTTAAAATATTAACAAACCATATGGTGATCTAAGTATTAATAGTAAGTGCTAAGAAAGCCTAGCAAAGAAAAGGGAAATACCCCAGAGATCTTCCGAGGGTGTGTGCTTCTCCTGCATGCACAGCGCTGACATGTTGAGAAATACAGGTGGCTGGTTTTGTGTTGTTTCAGTGTCTCTTATGACGGAGCATCACAAGGGGACCAAGCCAGATTCATATGTCTCCACCTGCTGGTGTTGATGCCCCCTCATACACAGTAGGTATTCGCTACATGCCCAGGGTGTAAATGAATGAAAATAAGGAACAGTCACCCTGGGATCCAGACCTTAGGCCTGGGAGTCACAAGGCTTTGAGGCAAATGGAAGGATTAGTTAAGCTAGCAAAGGAAAATGGGCCACAGAGATGGCTCAATGGTCAGAGCACCTGCTGCTCTTGCAGAGGACCCAGATTTGAGTCCTAGCACCCATATGGTAGCTCACAATGATATGTAACTTCACTGTCAGGGGATCCCATGCCCTCCTGTGGCTCTGTAGACACCAGGCATGAACATAGTGCACATGCAGGCAAAGCTTTATATAATAAAGCACACATAAAATAAATCTTTAAAACAAATAGATACTAAATAATGAATAAGTTATTTTTTATTTTGTTTTGAGACAGGGTCTCACTATGTAACCCTAACTTGTCTGAAACTTATTATATAGACAAGGCTAGCCTCAAATTCATGAGATCCTCCCACCTTTGCCTCCTGAGTGCTGTGATTGTTTTTGTTTTGAGTCTCATTCTGTAGCCCAGGCTGGTTTTCCTCCTCCTTCCTCAGCCTCCCAGTACTCGGGTTACAGGTGTGTACTGCTATACCCATGTTTAAGTCAGTTAGGTTTTCTTTTTTGTTTGTTTGTTCGAAACAGAATTTCTCAGTATCTATGGAGCCAGACCTGGAACTCATTCTAGAGACCAGGCTGGCCTCCAACTCACAGAGATCCACCTGCCTCTGCCTCCTGAGTGCTGGGATTAAAGGCAAATACCACCATCGCCCTGCCAGTTATGTTTTCATGACAAGCACACATCCCATTAGCTGCTGTTAGAAGACATTGCACATGGAGCCTCTGGAAAATTCCACTGTGTAAATGTGCAACTAGATTCACAGAACCCCCCCCCCCATCCCATTATGAGAGCGACTGAACAGAGGTGAAGGGTGGGAGGAAACCACCAGGCCAAACTCCTGCCAGCTTTCCAAAATCTGCTGCAGCTGTCTGCCACACGTGTCTCCCCTGGGGCCTCAGCCAGGCTCTCAGCTCCATCTCTTCCCTTCAAGAGCAATCCTGCCTCCATCCACCACCCTCTTTCAGCCTTTTCATCAGCACATCAACCCTACCCAGACCTAAAGACTTTCTCTTCTTCTTGCCTCTAGCCATTATCTATGTCTCTCCTGGCCTTCGCCTTGACTCCTGCCCTCACTTTTCCAGGTGTCTCTTCTCAGCCTCTGCTGTCTCTTTCCCTGTGAACTATCAGGTAGCTGCCATCCTCTTCTCTCTGGCTTCAGACAAATCTGCTCCTGACTCCTACCACCTGCCAACATCCCCTAAAACCTGCCTGTGTCCTTCC